TWRWAWAYAYATATATATATTTTGCTATTTTYATCATTATAATTCTGGCAGCCTGGACAAAATCCAACCGACTTACCTATTCAAGTAGGGAACAAGACAGAATGCGCCCTACTTGGGTTTGTTCAGGCTCTTGGAGTTAAATATCAATCTATACGCGATGAAATACCTGAGGATAAATTTACACGGGTTTACACCTTCAACTCTGTACGAAAAAGCATGGGTACAGTAATACCACGACCCAACGGCGGCTATCGCTTATATACCAAGGGTGCCTCGGAGATCATAATGAAGAAGTTTGTCCAATAGTTGCAATGCATTTTAATTAATATTATATATAACTTATATTTTGTACTAATTATTGCAGATGCGCCTTTATCTATGGTCATGAGGGAACATTGGAAAAGTTCACACGAGACATGCAGGAGCGTTTAATTCGAGAAGTAATTGAACCGATGGCTTGTGATGGTTTACGTACTATATCTATTGCCTATCGCGATTTTGTGCCCGGCAAAGCCGCAATCAATGAGGTGCACATCGATACAGAACCTAATTGGGATGATGAGGAAAACATTATGTCGAATTTGACCTGCCTGTGTGTTGTGGGTATTGAGGATCCTGTCCGTCCCGAGGTACCGGATGCTATAAAAAAATGCCAAAGAGCTGGCATTACGGTGCGCATGGTTACGGGTGATAATATAAACACGGCACGTTCCATTGCCAGTAAATGTGGCATATTACGACCCAATGACGACTTTCTTATTCTGGAGGGTAAAGAGTTTAATAGACGCATTCGTGACAGCAATGGTGATGTAAGTCTAATAAAACTATATGTACCTGAGTGCACTTTAATATATAATTATTTACACACATTATTTACACAGATCCAACAGCATCTCATTGACAAGGTTTGGCCGAAACTCCGGGTACTTGCACGTTCATCGCCCACAGACAAATACACGTTGGTAAAAGGTAATCAGCAAAAGTCGATTTTGTAAACAAATTCATTATTTATTCAACGGTTTTTATTATTTTTATGTAGGAATGATCGACAGTAACGTGACCGACAATCGGGAAGTTGTTGCTGTTACAGGCGATGGTACGAACGATGGTCCAGCTTTGAAGAAGGCAGATGTTGGCTTTGCAATGGGTATTGCAGGCACAGATGTTGCCAAAGAAGCATCTGATATCATACTCACTGACGATAACTTTAGCAGCATTGTTAAGGCTGTCATGTGGGGTCGTAATGTTTATGATTCAATTGCAAAATTTTTGCAGTTCCAATTGACAGTTAATGTCGTCGCAGTGATTGTAGCATTTATTGGTGCTTGTGCAGTACAGGATTCGCCTCTTAAAGTAAGTCTTTCCATAAGATAAACTAAGTATAAATCATTATTTCTTGTTTGGATTAAATCATTTTTCTTACCAGCACTTCATATACAGATATTGATCTTATCTATATAATCTTGCATGACTATTATTATACCCCGATCCCATTATTATACCCCATCAGAGTATAATGGTTTTCTTAAATGTATGTAACAGGCAGAAGGAGGCGCGTCACATCCCATATTCTTGATCTGTGGGACGAGTAGAGTCGATTTAGCAATGTGTGTTTATGTGTGCATGCGTATGCCTGTGTATGTGCGTATGTGTGTGCATGCGCGAATAATTAATGAAATATAAATTCGTCCAAGGGTTCAGTGGGTCTTATAGTCGACCAGCCTTGACAAGAGCTTTCTTGCTTGTTTTCATATTTAATTATCTTGTCTTTTTCTACTACCTGCTACTATCTACTATCTACTTTGGTCCCCAAAGGGAGCAAAAAGCTAGAAACTTTAAAGTTGGGCACATGAATCTACTTTATTGATAACTCCCGCTCACTTAATTATTTGTTTACTTAGATTTTTCTAATTAACAACTAAGTGCCATCTTTATTCGCAGGCAGTACAAATGTTATGGGTAAACCTTATTATGGATACACTCGCATCTCTAGCTTTGGCTACGGAAGTGCCGACGCCTGATCTATTGCTGCGTAAACCATATGGACGCACAAAGCCTTTAATATCACGCACAATGATGAAAAACATTTTGGGTCAAGCGCTGTACCAGTTAGTAATCATATTTGGCCTCCTCTTTGTTGGTAAGTCTACTTGACCAAGCGAATCCAATTTCAATTAAGAATCCAATTAATTATGTTTTTATAATTTAATAGGTGATTTAATACTTGACATTGAGTCTGGACGTGGACAGGATCTAAACGCTGGACCAACCCAACATTTCACAATAATCTTTAACACTTTTGTCATGATGACCCTTTTCAATGAGATTAATGCCAGAAAAATACACGGCCAGCGTAACGTTGTTGAGGGACTTTTTACCAACCCTATATTTTACACCATCTGGATATTTACAATGATTTCGCAAGTATGTTGAGTCGATTTAGCCATGTTCGTCAGTTCGTTCGAATGAGCTCGGCGATTCACTTGGCTTTTTTCTCTGCACTGCACCCTCCAAGTTAGCTTTGGGATACAGATTTGGATGTCCGTAATACGATCTATTGTTTTTAACTAAGTGGTCAGAAATCAATTTTAGGACTTGGTTATTTATGTATTACTCCAAAATGTATGTCATTTAACAGGATACATAAGCAACACTACTTGTAATCTCCCATATATATATATTCTCTTTAACTCTCCTACAAATTAGCTACAATGTTCAATGCCCAAAGGGTACCGTACTAGTCGCGTACTCACGACTAGAACGCTTTTGTCTATGCTTAAGAGTTCTTTTTATACCCTGAACCCATTGAAAATGGGAAATCAGTGTATAATGGTTTTGTGAAAAAGTATGTAACGGGCAGAAGGACCTTATAAAGTATATATATTCTTGATCAGCACGACGATCTCACAAGTTATTAGAGCTACTTTGGCATGGATACTCGTGTGTACCATACGCAATACAAGTTTTTTTTTTCGAGAACTCATCCGATAACTTTTTTATAAAGAATAATCGAGATATACATTTTGTTTTTTTCAGCCTAATTTGAACACTTTTAGACCTGGAGACTTCAGATTAATTGTGTCCATATATAAAATGAATACAAACATTTTGTAATAATTAATTAATAATTTTGAATACCACCTAATGTACATACATTCTAACTACATGATCACACTCTAAAAGTTTCATAAAGATAGTCCTACTACAAGAGAAATTATTCAACTAATAAATTCTCATAATATTGCCCACACTGCAGTGCAGCCCAAGCGCTGTAGTCTCGACTGGAGCCTTCTTACTTGTTTCACTGCTGTTAATTAACATGACTAATCAGTTGAGAGTGACAATAAAATACATTGTCTAAATCTATCTAATGAATACATACATATGTATGTATGTATATTAGCGCTAGAATTATTGAGACAATTTATAGTATATTTCAATATTTTACACTGCACTATGGGCGATTTGTCGATTTTGGCGGCATAAAGTCTAAAAATAAAGCTAGAAGCCTAATTTTTTATAAATCAGGGTATAATGGTTTTGTTTAAATGTATTTAACAGGCAGAAGGATGCGTGGCATCGATAACTCATCCCGATCTTTTTTTATCGATAAAAAACCTTATCGAAAACCAGTTATAAAATTATATCTTCTACACCTTTATTGCTAGAGTCTCCAATTTTTTAATGTATGCTTA